AGGACCGGTTAAAACCGGTACTTGATGGGAGTGTTTCCCCCATCGATGACCGGTTTTGACCGGTCATCGATGGGTGTGTTTACCTCCATCAAGGACCGGTTAAAACCGGTCCTTGATGGGGGTGTTTCTCGCATCGATGACCGGTCAAAGGTCATCGATGGGGGTGTTTGGGGGGGGGGGGGGTTAATCCCATCGATGACCGGTTTTGACCGGTCATTGCTGGGGGTGTTTAAACCCATTGATGACCGGGCATAACCGGTCATCCAAGGGGTTGCTTGGGGGGGTTGACTCCCAGATGACCGGTTTTGACCGGTCATCGATGGGGGTGTTTAATCCCATTGATGACTGGTCAAAAGTTTTGACCGGTCATCAATGACCGGTTTTGACTCAAAACCGGTCATCAATGGGGGTGTTTGGGGGGGTTGACTCCCATCGATGACCAGTGTCATAAATGGTCATCAATGGGAGGACTGTATGGCCAAATTGGCTGATGAATTCATTTTTTTTTCATTTTTTTTTAATTTTTAATTTTTTGGGCCAAAGTGGCGGTTGAGTACCTCCATAACTACTTCTGTAGAGCTCAAAAATTCATTTTTTACACATTTCGCATGGTTGGTGTGAACAAACATACAGATCACAAGAAGAGGTGATGTGCACTGTAAGAATTCCCAATTCTTACATTGGTGATTGAGGTTAAAAGAAAATGTTGAATGACAAAGGCAGAGTGGAAACTGCGCTGAAGGGGGTGAATTCCAAACAATTCAAGAACCTTTTTGCACATATTTAATAGGCTCTGACAGAGGGACTAAGGGAAAAATGAATGAGAACAAAGCAGACTACAAACTGAGTTGTATTCATACAGCATACTCAAGAAAGCTTGCACTTTTTACACATAAAAAAAATTGTCAGCTCAAAAAAACTTCTGGTGGCTTTCTTCCGTGCAGCTACATTTGAACAATAAGGTGAAGTATGTACATACAGGCAGTGTTGGACAGCAAAACAGAGTCTAGCTCCGCATCCCCCACTCATCATCGCCTTTCATTTCACTCATTCTTCCCTCACAAACAACAATTTACATACAACCAGCCCAATCAATCACAAACTGTAAGTTTTTCTCTGGTGGGCATGTTTCCCAGATGGCTGCTGAGTTTGGCAATTTTGCCTACAGTTTAGCAATGCCGTTTGTGGACTATAAAGCTGCATACAAGTTCTTAGTGGTCAAGTCTGCACTTGACGGTTTGAGCTTAGATGAGATAAATATTTGGAATGTCACCACTGTCAGCTCACATTCCCTTTGATGCTGGTCCCAGTTGTATGAAAATACAAGCTCTGTGGTATGTGATCCAGTAACTTATGTGATGATTGGGTGCCCAATGGCTTTATTGGATGAGGAAATACGGTTTCTATTAGAGCTGGTCACCTTGGGACGGAACCAATGATTTATCTAGCCAAAATTCAGCAATTGCTACTCAAGAACGGGAATATCAACATTTTGTTGGAATTGGGTGTGCACAGTGGGTGCAGGTGCTGTCAATACTCCAGATTGGGAGTGTTGTGATCATGATTTCATGATCAACCTGGTACGGTCAACAGGTTCTTTTCCTCATCTCATCTTTATCACAACTTGACATTGCTCAACTCTTCAACATTAATCATCAAGTTCAGCATCAATTGATTGTGAGGGATCAATTGCTAGGGATTTGTAGCCTTGAGGAATTTTGTTATTATTTCTCATTGTTATCATTCACTAGCTGTTGACTGCTCTAATGTTATGCTCTTAGCTTTTTATCCTGAATTAGTTGTCAAGATACTCTTTAAGAGTCGATCGTGTACTTACTGTGTTGGTAGTTCATTTAACTTCCTGTTCTTTTAAGGTATACACTCTTGACGGCCGAGGTGTATACTCTTGACGGCCGACGGGGAAACTACCCCAACCGTCGAGGTGTACACCCTCTCAAAGTCTGTGTACACTCCCGGCCTTCAAGAGTGTATGCTTTTGACAGCCAAGGTGTATACTCTCAACGGCCGACGGCCGGGGGATTGATAAGCGCAAGCCAACCCCCCTCACGCACGCCAATCTAGAGATGGTCAAAGAGTATCCGTCGCGGATACCCGCTATCCCCTGGCGGATACCCGCCAGCGGGTGCAGATGGCCTCTTTTCTGCAAAACACTGGCGGGTATCCGGGTATCCCAAAGGATACCCGAGGCCAGAAGGGTAGATGGCCGGCTGGAAGGGTTTCCTTCCAGTCGACGAGGTACATGTACCTCTATTTTTCCATTTTCCTTCAACCTATTCTTCCATCCAATCTTCATCCGAATATACTCCTTCTGTATTTTGTTCTCTAAATAATATCTTATTCATGACATTGACTACTTCACTATCTGCTGATCCTTGTGTAACAAAAAGATTTTTGACATGTCTAACTCGGGATAGGCCCACATACAATTGACCATGGGCAAATACTTGATTTTCTAAGACTAAAGCCACACAATTCATACTCTGGCCCTGGCATTTTTTGATGGTCATGGCAAAATCTAATTCTACAGGAAATTGGTATCTATAAAAGGAATATTTAACCATTGAATCTCCTTCATGAAGAAGTGTAATCTTTTGCACAAGCACTACCTAGTCTCTGTATGGGCCTGTGAGAATTCTCCCTTTGATTGCTTTCGGACTGAGCCCCTTGATAACTATCCTGGTCCCGTTGCATAGACCTTGATCAATTCCTAAATTCTGTAATAGAACTAAAGGTACTCCGACCTTAAGTTCTAACTGATGAGGCAGAAATCCTGCAAAATTTATTGGGGGACACTGCCCCACAGGAAAGCGCTAAAAGATTATGCTGTCTTTGGATCCATTCCTTCTAGTTACCCATGATGACTCCATTCCCTGTGCCTCGGAGTGTCTTGGTCATGGATACTGCATCATTTCACCACAATGGCCAGATCACAGACCTGATAGAAGCACATCAATGCTGTCTGGCTTACCTCCCACCTTACTCCCTGTACATGAATCCAATTGAGAAGGGATTCAGTATAATCAAATCCTCACTGTGTCAGTATGGGAACCTAGACGGGGGGTTGGAGATAGTGATATTATTGAAAGCCATGTTAATTATGTCTTCAACACTAAATTGATGTGCAAGCTGTTCAGATGATGTGGCTACATTGACTGATTAAGCTACACATTTCCCAAATGCACTTGTCTGATGATTGTCTCAGCTGTTTTTGTTTGGCTTCCTAAGCTAGCTGAAACATCCTGGGATGTTTTGCTCATGTAGTCCTATAGGTCTAGAACATTTCGCACTGTGCTCCTCCGTTCACGCAGCTAAGCCGACCCAACTGTTGTGGTTGGCTGTGGTTAACTGACCTTCTCCTGGGATGTTTTGCTCACGTAATCCTACCCGCCATTTAAGAACCAAGAATATCTTGCTTCTTGATTGGCGGGCGAGTCCTCCTGCCCCTCCTGGAGGGACAGGTTCTTCTGCCCGCCCCTCAGAAGCCTGTTTCCTTGGAAAAACAGGATTCCAGGGGTGTGCAATCAAACCCGCCCCTCCCTGAGGGGCAGGGTCAATTGCACACCCCTTTGGGGAAGTGGGCGGGCGGGGAGGGGGGGGGGGGGTGCGTTTATCAATGCACATCTTTTTTCTTTTTCCTCTTTCGCCTTCCTTCTTGATTTTTTCTTTTGTCTGTTTTACCTTCCTGTGGTTTAATTCCTGACCCTATCAGCATGGTCCGTTTTGCCCAAAAAAAAGCTTTGCTTGCTTTGAATGCACATAATGTTTCTTGAAATCAATATTCAATAGGATTCATTGGCTCAAGTAATTATTTGCTCTCTTTGCTCTGTCCCACATAGATTCATTCTGAGCTGCTGATCATTGGGTGACAAGATTGATACTAACTCAAGATATTGTTTCCGTCTATTTCACATCTTCCACTTCAAGTAGCCTCTTTCATTCGGATTTTTGTTTACTAATCCCCACTTTCAAAGCCAGTCATTGAAGACTAGATCATGATGGATGACATCTGCAATGAAGAACCTGACCTACTCACAAAAACAAGTAACAGAAACATATGACTTACAAAAATATAACACGATGAACAGCCACAAGTCAATCTTACAACACAAGTATAACAGGAACAAAAAAATGTAAATAAGGTGGATACCAATCAACAAAGAACCAAGTTCGATTGGTTCAAGTAATCCTCTTGTTAGCCTAACACCCGCTGTATCAGCACTACAATGAAAACAAAAAGATTGGAAATAAATTATGAAATCGATGAAGTAACGAGGAACGATTAAATAGGTACAAGGAATAAGTCTGCACATAAATACCAATAACACTGTTGTATAGAAGGAAAATTCAGAGAGAAGATTTGTTATGGACGGCAAGAGTGATAAGAAGGGATGGGGACTATTTCCGTTGAGGTTGAAGATTTTGTTGATGAGTGGTCAAGAGATCTTCTAACTGTTTAGAGCGATGATCAGAGGAGGCGATCTGATCTTTCAAGCCGGAGACTTGAAGGTCGAGATCGGCCTTACGTTCCTTCGCGGACCTCTTCTCGCGCTTGACTTTCTCCTCCAACTCCTTATTACGATCCTGGAGCTCTTTCAATCGAGCAAGCCAACTGGCCTCGACGGAGGCCACCTTAAGCTTCGCCTCGTTGAACTTCTCTTCCGTCAACTTCAGCTGGTTCTGAGTTGCCGCCAACTTCTTCTCCAGATGGACCACCTTCGCCAAAGCTTGTCTGTGCTCGGTGCTCGAGCCCGGACTCGTGCCTGCTATCGAGGCCCGCGTCTTCAGCGAACTGATCTGCTTCTGCAGCTCGCTGCACGTCTCCTTCGCCGCATCCACTTCTCCTTGCTTCGTCGTCATTCGCGCTCGCCATTGACGTTGAGTATCTGTGGCGGCTTTGATGGTTGTTTCGAATTGGTCTAGCTGTCTCATCCTAGTATCATGCTGTCGCTTCAGAGAGCTATCCAATCACTTGATTGTTAGTTGGATCGGCCAATCTAATGCTGTCATCTTTCAAAGTTGGTAATTACTCACGCATATTGTTTCTCGAGCTTCTTCTCAACTTCTTGGATTTTCGTCTCAAATCCCGATTGCATGGTCCCCAAGTTCTTCAGTCGATTGATAATGTTTTCATGGAAAACTGTAAAATTCGTGAATGGTTTTGCATCTTGGGCACTACTGATCCTTCTCTATTGAATGGTAAACCCCAATCAGACCATCAACAAAAAAGGAGAAGAAACCCCTTGGAAGAGAGTCATAATAAGCGCAACTCACATGATTAGATCCACTACTTAAAAGTTTCTCAAGGTATTGGTAAATCGTCAACAAGAGCGTGTTTCGTTCACTGATTTGATCCTTGTATTGACGCTCAGATTTGTTCAGCTGTAAGTGATCGGAAGTCAATTCATCTTCCAGGGATTGCAATCGGTTCTTATTGACCGATAGATTGTTTTGAGTCTCTCGAAGATTCTAACGATTCCCCAAGCACAAAAGAGCAGATCAAAAAAAGGCAAATTTAGAGGTGCACGCAAAGTTGATGAAAACGGAAAAGCATCAATCAGGATTTCAAGGTCTAAATGCTCAAGACCGCATGATCAATTGATAAGATCCAGCGGCTTTGAAACATTGCTGGCCAAGTCGTGGGACCCATCGAGAATACCAGATAGGCGTGTGGGGCTGCGGACATATGCGTATTTGCAAAATGAAGAATTGGAGATGAAACACCACTAACCTTAGTCTGCTCCTCGTATTTCTCATTCAATGAATCCCGGGCGCGCTGCACACCTAACAATTTATCCGACAATTCGTCTTTCTCGGATTTCTAATCCAGTCGACCGCGACAAAAATAAGGGGGAATGATAAGCAAGTTGCCCGAGGTGAAGGCTCATTGAGAAAAAGGGATGATAAGAGAGCGAGTAAAAACAAACCAAATTAGCGATAGCTGCCTGGAATTTAGAGATTTGTTTTTGAAGGGAAACGTTTTGATCTTTGTAAGTTTGAGTTTCTTGGGTAGAATGAAGCAAGTCTCTCTGGATCCTTTCGATTTCGAGTTCCAAAGAGAATTTATCATGAGATTGAGATTGGTTGAACTGATTAGATTCGCTCTCTAAACGCTTCAACATCGTTTCCAATTTCTCGATGTCTTCTTCTCGGACCTCTAGTTTTCCTTGCAGGTTGTCTAGGTCACTTTCAGCTTGGGCTAACGCCTAGATTTTGTTTTGTTTCCCGATCACCAAAAGAACACAGCCATCATCAACTTCGGACTGTATGTTTTGAGTGTGGAATACCGATGCCCACTAACCTTTTGCTTGGAATCAAGCGCAAGCTGGAAGGAAGACTGTAGTTCGCGTTTTTCTTTCTTGAACGCGATGGCTTGAAGGTCCATTTTCTCCCGAGTCCCTCGTAATTCGCGCTCAAGATCATCAAGTTCTCTCTCTAATCTACGCTTCAGATCCGATTCCTTCTTTCGTCGTTCCTCAATCTCCGAATGTCTTGATTGAAGTTCTTCGTGCTTGTCTTTCAAGAATTTCAACTCAGATAGACATGATTCGTGTCGGACCGAAAGCTCGTTGAGTTCCGATTTGGTACCATTTAATTTCTATATTCCACACATAAACCCACAACAAGTTCCTTCCTTCGTCAGTATAAAACATGATACCACACATACTTTCCTTGTAAGTGAATTCCCATCAGCAAAGATCAAACAAAGCACCGAAAACTTGCGAACCTGTTTGAGTTTTACTACCACTTGCTCGTTAACTGTCGATCGGTTTGATTCGCGTTGCTCCAGTTCATCTAACTCAGCACCCAATTCGGTAATCTGCTGATCTTTCTCGTGAACTTCCGCTGCAAGTTCCCGATTTCCGGCCCCAATCTAAAGCCAGGCGCGTCGTTTTCACAAGAAGGACAGAAAAAAAGCATAAGCGCGTTTTGCTCGTGCTGATCTAACTAATGTGAGAATGATAATGATCTGCACGACGAACCTCTTTGAGATCGGTTTGCGCGACTTCCAAGTCTTGGAGAATCGAGTTATAATCTTTCTCCTTCTCCTTCAATTTACTTCGCGTCTCTCGCAATGATTTGTCCGTCTCTGCTTGTAAATTGATCACTTCCCTCAACCGATCACTGAGTTCAGCGATTTGGTCTTCCCGCTCATGTATTGCCTGCGATCATCCCCAAGAGAAAACAAATTCAGATAAGAAAGATTTCTAAAGATTGCGGTGTAGCTGCTGTCAAAGAAAACAAGAGACTTTTACCTGTTGAAGTTCATCTCTTTGAGCTTTGACAGCATCGAGCTCACGGCTGTGTTGGCGGGTGATTTTCTGAACCTCCTCGTTAAAAGTCGCATCTCGATCGTCTAATTCGGCATTCAACTCATCGATCTCCTTCTGTCTTTTTTCAAGATTCAATAGAGCAGATGCAGATTTATCTCTATACATATTCAATTCCTAAGTACAACAAAATGACACACAGGATCAGAGTGGCGCTTTATTGATTCTCAGTAAATGAATAGCAAAAACTTGACCAACCTCTCGAACTTCATCGGCCGCTTGATCGTGAAGACTGATATTACCAGCTTGTTGAATTTTCTCAAATTCACGCGCATCTTGTTCTAATTCATCCTGTAGATCCATGACTTTGCTTTTCAGATTGCTCACTTGGTCTTGCAACTTATCCTTTTCTGAGTTCTTTGTCGAAAGCATCTTGACTTGAGCATTGACTTGGGATCTTAACTCGACGTTTTCGTTTTCTAATTCACGAAGCTGTCTCTCCAGGTCTTTAATTTCTCGCTCGAATTCTTTGACCATTGTTTGGTTAGTGATCCCCCCCGTTGGTTTTCGACCAGAACTTGGATAATCGTTAGGATCTTCTTGAAATCTACTTTGAGCTCGACTGATGTGATGGCTTCGATTATCACGTTCTTCGAGCTGATCTTGAGTATCTTGTAAGGCGTTCTTGGTTTCGGTCAGTTGATATCTCAAATCCTGATTATCACCTAGAAGTTCTTCTTTCTGCTGACGCTCTTCGGCCAACTCGTTCTTGAGGTTTTTGATCTCCGTCAAGTGTTCTTGATTAGACCAATTATCGACGGATTGATTAGAGATCGACTGACGAGTGTGGTTTCGGGCGTGACTAGAGGCGATCTTGGATGGGCTATCTTTTGAAGAGACGCGTTCTAGATGATCCTTGAGCCGTTGTAGTTCACTTTCCAAGTTCTGGATCGATTTATCCTTGGTCGCAACTTCATCTCTTGCCTTCTTCACTTCGGCTTGTAATCCAGAGCTGGTTCTTTCAGCAGATAACGTTTTTTGTTCTAGTAGTTCGTCGCGCTCGGTCTTGGCTAGCTCGATTGCGCGTTCTGCTTCCAGCAGTAAGCGCTTGTATCGTTTCAGCTCTTGTCGGACTGTTTGGAATTCTACCTTGATTTCCACGTTCTCCTTGAGTGCCAAGTCGACCTGATCTGGTGCTAGCTTTGCCATTCTGTCTTCTAAGAAGTAGATTTTTAACTTCAAATTGAAGTTGTCTTTTTTGACTTCATCGATCGCCTAAAGATTTGATTGAATATACGCAAAGGGAGCGATATCAGCGACAGAGTAGAATTTTGTTGGAGGGAAGAAGTTACTAGCTTTTTCCTGTTCTCGTAATGTGAGATGATTACCTCCTCCACGAGGTGGATCGCCAGAATTCAAGATCCTTTGACCAGGCAAGGGTTTTCTAGGGTTATCACTACTGTTATATCTGGCTAGTCTAGAAGCTTCTGGACTGTTGTGTGGACTGATGATGAATGCAGCAGGATCGTTTAGGAATGAGTCGTCTTGTTGAGTTATATTGGCATGGCTTTGAGATTGACGGGTGATGGTGGTGAGATGTTGATTGGAATTGGCTCGCGATTGAGAGTTTGGTGGAAGTGGTTGTTGTCTGTTTCTGATTTGGTTGTTGAGTTGGTAGTTTGATTTTCTGGTATGCTTCGGGTTGATATAGCTATCGAGTTCGTTCATCATTCCGTCCGTATCTTGGGTTTGATCAGGATCATCGGGGTGGGCGTTGATGATAGTCTTGTCTTCTGATGAAAGGTTCTTGCTGCTGCTGCTGGTCTTCTTCTTCTTATGAGGGTGCCTTGATGATGGTAATGGTGGCTGTTGTTGTTCAAAGTCTTGACTGTGGAAGCTGTCTTCATCTGTTCCGAATGTGAGGCCAGCCAATCGGGATACGCCGCCGGTCGTCTTGTCTGGTCCAGCAGTCGCATCCCCAATCGAGTGATCTAGGTTATCCATCCCTGAATCTGGCTTAGTGCTCTGTCGGTTTCCTGAGTTGGTTTCGTATCTTCATGGTTCGTTTTGCTTTCTGCTGAGTTTGCTGTGCAACCTTGGAAAATGGAAGAGGTCTATGGTCAGCTTACGTAATCAACCTCTATCCGGAAGGCCCAGCTCAACCAAGACTGAACTCCGCGGAGTTGTGAACATCTTCCGGGTGAGTATTGGTACAAGTACATACGCCGTGATCCGGCTCGGCGGAGCATGGCCTCAGATTGCCGGACTCTAATATGTATCGTGTTGGCCGCCCGGCCCGTTAACCCCGGGATGCAGGCTAGAAAAGTTCCTTCCCGCATGTTCCTCTAGTGCCCCTGCCGATGCAGTGTCGCGTCCCTCCGTCCGTCCGTCCGGGTTTGGGTAACGGACCAGCACGGCCAACCTATGTAATATGGACGGGCAAAGGCTTGAAAGAATCGGATGAATTCATACAAGAACATCAAGGAAAAAGTTTTCAACCCAACCCACAACGATTGCGAATAAATACATACCACACCATACAGCATCCAATGAGGTTGGATTTTGGAATACACATTGGTTGTAAAGATCATCTGTTGTGTCCGCTTTTTGAACTTTGTCCGGCCGCATCGCCTTGTAAAGTCTCTGTCAATGTTGCTGCAGTGCTCATTCCTTCTGTTTGATTCCGTCTGTTGGGGGCGTTGCCCTCGCGTCGCAGAGGACTGTATGTATGACTCCTACCAGTGGCACTGCGGTCTTCTTACCTGTGATTCTCAAGTGGAGCGAGCATACAGCCAAACCGAGAAAGCTTGCGTCTCGGTTGGCGGAAGATTCAAAAAAAAAAAAAAAAACCGACTGCAGTCGGAATTTTTGGAAGAATACAGCACCCTGTATGCCCATTTGCATACAGGGTTACTTCAGGGTAAAATCCCTATCTTTTTTCTCCCTCAGTTCCAGGTCATGAGAGTAAGACCATCGGGATCCTGAGGGAATGTTTAGTCCAACCGGCCCATTGACATGAAGGCCACCCATGCCCCTGCCCCCCTCGGGCTGGCTGGTTGGGTCCGGTGCGGTCCTGTCGCCGCTACCGGCAGGTATGTTGGAAGCTGTATGATGGCTGTATTCTTCCAAAGATTCCGACTGCAGTCGGGATTTTTTTTTTTTTTTTCTGAATCTTCTGCCAACCGAGACGCAAGCTTTCTCGGTTTGGCTGTAGACGAGTCAGCTATAAATCTCAGCCTCAAATCACTTGATTGCACATTTACTCTCTGCATCAAAGTTCAAACCATCAAAAACCAATTACATAGCTTGAATCACATCCACTTCCTCGCACACCTATACCCTACTTATCCGGGATTTAAGACTTGCGCGTCGAACCCACAAATACAAATATGTTTACCTATCAATTCCTCTTCATCGCTGTAATCAGTCAAGCAGCGCGGAGTGCTCTTGCGATCAGCTGCTATCCGAAAACCCTCGTGAACAAGGCGGAGTGTCACGAGTACGGGCTGCTTTTATTTGCTTTTGTCGTCGTCCGACTCCCCCTTGCAGCGTTTCTAAACGTAGATCCAGTCCGCTGACAAGCTCTTTAAAAACATCTCTGCAACTCTTCCGAACCTAACTCTACAGAGCGATCAAACAAATTGTCTATCGTGAGGATAGTCGCCTTGGTACGGAGTCCAAGCATTTTGGATACGAGTTCAAAGATTGCAGTGTGCGGCCATACGTTTTGTACTGCTACAAATCCTTCCCCGATTTGGCTAATTGAAATCTGTGTTGAACATAATCCAGATCATCCTCAGAAACCCGAATGGTGCTTCCCCGTATGTTAATAATCTATCTGCCGACTCTTATCCTGAATGTTGCGAGCAATTCGTAAGTGATCGGACGTTCAACTTACGCACCTTTGTAAGAGCAGCACGAGAAAACAAATCCTAGATGGCTATGACAAGATCCTCAACTATTGTGAAACCGCCGTAAGTTCAACGCATCTTTGATTGTCTGGATCAAAAGGGTGCGGATTGATGAAACTGATCAACCTGTGTGTTTTTGGTGCTTAGGCGGGTGGGGATTACCTTGACAGTGACACTTCAATCCAACTGAATATCGGAAATAGTGGCAAGACGCCCGAGACCAAGCCTTACAACTCATTCTTCCCATTTCTCCAAGAGACATGTGGGCTGAATCAGAATGCAGGGAAAATCCAACAGGAAGATTGTAACACGTGAGTGGTGTTGGTCTCGAGCACAATTTCTTATACATCTTTACTTGGATCCTGACCGGATTACCTTCCTGGGTGTCTAGAGCCTACAAGTCGATCCCAATGAGCGTTGAGGGTCAATTCCTGAATGACAAGAACCGAGCGACTGACAGGATTGCCAAAGAATACAAATCATGTTATGTCAGTTGACCCGACTCTCTGGCTGTAAATCATTTTGATCGGTCATCTGACTATGAATTGGGTCTATCCTACCAGGTCACCATTTACACATCGGATGGATCAGTATTAGACGCGTCAGTTTTGGATCCCATTGAGCATCGTCTGCAAGCTACTACTGACTTCATCCGCTCTCATTCGACCAAAAATCATAGAACCAATGGAAACATTCGCCCCATATTTGATAAATTGGTCAGCAAGTGCGGTACTCAAGTGAGTACACACTTATCCTGTCTTCCATCTCGCCCAAAGCAGAAACATAGCTAACAAATGAATCGATTGACAGTCTGGCGTGGTCAGCATCAAGGACGGGGCACGGGGAAAGAACGGTAGAGTCTACATGAAAATCAGGAACAGCCGCCCATGTGGCGAACAAGTTTGCAACTAAGCATGAACAATGTTGATCTGGATCTGAATATTCAATGGTTTCCTTTTCTTGGCTTGAGTTCTGTTCACCACCTTGATGCTCTATGTGCCAGATATCATGATATCTTGTGTCCCTAGTGACAGTTGAACCCATCTTTTCTCATTTCTACTCACCACTATTGCAACGTGGATACCTGGACGTTATGTGGCTGTTGCTGGCTCAATCAATTCCAATTGTGTATTGATCAGAAACGAAATTCCACAAGTTGAAAAAGACAACCATTTTGATTCAAGCAACTGAGTAGCACAGCCAAAACTTCAACATATGGTGGCCATTGACATTTTTCTTGACCTAGTCATGGCAGCATGAAATCACCACAAACATCATGTTGCAAAAAAAAACAATTAAGCTGAGCTGAGTGAAGCATCATCTTTATATTGAAAAACAGCATAATGATGCATCCCACCACTGCTTGAAGTAGTGTTTGGGTTTTGGAGATTGAGTGGCTTTCTCTAAATCAAGCCATGATCATTTTGTTAGAATTCTTGCCCTCTTCCTCTTGGTAAAAAAAACTGATTCAATGGTGCTCTACATGTCCATTTAATGGTGCTCTTTGCAAACACATATTCACAGTGAGTCCTCCAATAGGATCTTGGCAAATCCCTTTCCAACCAACTCATGTAATTCCTGGGAAATCTGGGTTTTGGATACATAGAGAAATCCAGGTTTTCCAATTTCAGCCGGATTTATATGTGTCCCTCATGAGGATGATTTTGAGGGTGGCTAGTGGAAAATTGGTGAGGTTAATTCAAAATCTCTGTGCTTCCAAGCTTCTAGCCCCTTGTAGCTCAAAATAAACGTTTTTTGTTTTGTGGGAAGATCCAAAAAAGATTCTATGTTCATGAGGATCATTCTTGAAAAAAAAGAAATCCAATACAAATCCAATGATTTCCATGAGAAGAATTTTGAAAAACAAAATCCTGTTTGGATACATGCTTATAAATGAGTTGGAATAGGAGGGGCTCTATGGGGTTGGTCCTATAATGTTTTCTGGAGTAGTGAATAATTATGTTACATTCATTTTCAAGAATTCTGTCTGTGTTGATCATGTTCTCAATAATAGGGAAATCAAAAAAGACCATAAAGGTGATATTTGATACTGAAACAAAAGTTGTGTTGAATTCATTCCTGGTTATCTACAGCTATATGGATATTTGAATTGTGGTAGAGATTGCTCGTTTGGACCTGTTGGGGGGTACCTGCCACACTTCAGATCAAGCCCTCCACATCAACAGCCACCATAAATACCAGTGGGGGGGCCAGTACTAAACCTTCATCATTAATGAACCCTCTGGAAGCATCAGTGGTGTCTGAGGGTGTGGAGGGAGTGTTTTGAAGTGTGGCAGGTACCCCCCAACAGGTCCGAACAAACGATCTCTAAATTGTGTCCTACAATTCTTTGATTGTATTATGTAATATAGCATCAAAGCTGGTTGAAATCAGTTTTTTTGTCTAGTAATGAACACATCAGCTATGATTTTTTTATTGAATTTGGGAGGGAAACTGTTGAGACTTGAAAATAAAATGCTCAAGTAGTGATAATTTCAATTCCAGCTGGCAGAAGACCTCCCTCACCAAATTGGAAGGGTTGCCAATTTGGACCTTATCTTATCCTTGCTTATAATGTATATCCTATGTGAACTGCATTATTAATGGGATTCAGAGTTGAGTGCAAATGCTGCACAAAAAAGTGTGAATTTTTAGTTGCCGGTATCCATTGGAAGATTAGATGTGGCTAGTAGAAAGACATTTTGGAAACCCATCAGCCATGGTTTTTGGTTCAGAGTGACATGCAAAATTTTTTGAAATTCACTTGGACTCAACTCTGGAACCCACTATTTTTCACATGCAAGTGAGGGAACTTATGTTAAAAAACCAACAGGGGGATACATTGAGCTAAACAAATTTTAATCTGAACAGTCTATTTTGGATCCAAAGAAGAATTATCTTAATGTGGCCTTAAATGTTTCTAAATCCTGTCAACCTGTTTTTTGAAAGCACCAAAATATGAGTGCTGTTACTCCCAACAGCACATACTACTAGTGGGAAGACCGTGTTGGGAAAAATTGAAAGTAGGACAAATGAAGTATGTTTTCCACTAAGCTTCTCAATCATCAATGACTCTTTTTGGGTCAAGTTTGTCACCAATTGTGTAGTACTAATCAAGAACTCCATTGGTTTAAAGCCACATTGACATACCCAGATCTCAGTTGTTCTGGAACTTGGATCAAAACTTGTGGATCAGAATGATTGCCAAGAGTATGAGCATATTGACTGTTTTCATTTATTCAATTTCTTCAGGCTGTTTTGGCCAGTCAATCCTGTGTGTGTTAAGATTTAATGTTTGGTGTAAATTGTGTTGAAATTTTTTTATATTCTGATCTTATCTATCAGGTATTTACCATTTGATGTATTTCATTTAATTTTTATTTCTATATCTATTTCTAATATTGTTTTTTTTTATTTCTAAGCCTATTACTTCTATTGAGTATCTTATTAATACTGTTTCAAAAAATTAATTGACTGCACCATCTTTACATAGTGTCAACACAATGAACTTAGTTTCCATTGTGGCTTGATTGGATTATGCTGCATGTAAAGTGGTAGCAGTTTTGTGGCTTTTTCTTGTATTGTATGAACAAACTATGTGACCTGTAAATTTTAAAACCAACAAGAATTGTACTTCAGATGTTTCATGGAACAGATTTGACAAGAATTTTTACAGACCTTGTGAAAAAAGAGCAATCACTAAGTGTAGGGTATGAGTATCTTAGGGGGGTTCATGATACCATTTCTCACACAAGAATATATTTTTTCTCAATTGCCTGCTTGTTGCAACACAATTTGTGTGACATCTAGGGTGAAATTTAGCCCCACACCAATGCTGTGGCCTCTTGTGCAAATCACCAAGGCTCTTCCAAGAAGATATCATGAAACCCTCTATTGAGCAAAGAGAGATGAGAACTAGAGTTTAAGTGATACAAAATATAACCTGTGAGAAGCATGCAAAACTGACCATAAGCATCTAAATGGCAGAAAACCCATGTTTCCTTCCTCAACCAACACTGTCAGCCTTAGAGCCAGCCAAGCTGGCCAAAAGACTGCTCAAGTCCTCCTTTTCAGCTATGTTCCTACTGTAACTTTTTTATCTCATGATTTTATTACATTCTGACTTCAGAAATGAATTCCTCATGTAATTTCAACCTTAGTCACCACTATACACTTTTACACTACTCTTCTCCTTCATAGACTTTGTAATATTTCACCGTACCTTGTGAAATATCAACCAAGTTAGAATTCCAACTCTCTACCACATGTACATGTTGTGATTATGTAATCCAACTCTGAAAATTCTCTCAGTAGACACTGAGTTGACATTTTCAGGATGTTCAAGCTTCAGACCAACCCAGAACCAACTCAGACCAGAAATCACCAACCTCAACTTGGATACTTCACCGCCGCATCATTGCCGTGTTATCGTTTGGAGTCCCTTAACTATTGGAATCTTCCCACTCATCGTGTCAGGATCACCAATAAGTAAGTCACTCCACAAGTTCAGCTTGCATCTTTCTGCTAAGTTCCTTCTCTGTTTCTCTGAATGATCACATCATTCTGTTTCTACTAAACCTCTGCCTTAATCATCATCAAATCAAATCAAGTCATCATTATTCTCTGTTTGGTGGTATAACTGAAAACCACATAGGTTTCCCTTTAAAGAACCTTGATCTTTGATCTAAAAAATAGTGGTTGGATTGACATATCAATACCAATAGCCCTTCTCAGTTTCATTTGATTAGGAGGCGTAGATTTATTCCGCTAAAACAACAGCCATCCTCTTAAGGAAAGTAAGACTGCATTAAGACTTAACTTTAAAATAAATAAACAATAAAAATATTATTCTTTCTTTTCCTTTTCTCTCTCTCTCTTTCTTTCTCTTATTCTAGTTGTATTTCTTTATTCTCCTGAAATACATCTAGAATTGTCCCCCTAACCTTGTATCCTGTTGTCACTTTTGAGACCCAGGCTCACAAACACAAGGTATGTAAGAGGGAAATCTGGGAAGAGAGAAATTGGACAATTATTGTACATTTTTGCCATGAAAAACCCATAAATCTTACCAAAGCTGAGTTGTCATATATATCATTGATCAAGAAACATTACAATAATTCTATGTCTTCTGGCCCGTCAAAACCACCAGCAGCTCAAAAGATTGTTTGCACCTGAGAAATAGAGTACTAATTTGAAGTACCTCATCGAAGAAACCTGTTTTTAAGCCATTGATCACATGAAATGTGAAGAGATCACAGATTGCTACTGGCTGTCACAGAATTGAAACTTCAAGCAAGGTAAGCTAATGGCAACAAAGAAGCCTATTCAATGAGATCACTTCACAATAACCAAGTCAGCAAGAGACAAGGGGGATATTCTGTGGGCATTGGTTCATGGCTTGAATATCATCATAGAATTAATGATCATTCTCATATCTTGTGCAGCTCATAAAGGAGTGAAAGAAAAAAAGGCTAGAGTAGCAACTCATTGTAGGAGTTGCAGATGTTGGTGGGGGATACAGGATGCCTTTAACTCAATTTCACAAATTTAAAGTCTTGTTTAACTGAAAAAGTGAGAAAAGAAGCTGTTATGATCTAGTGAGGAAGAAAAAAACCCCAATTCAATGGGGTATAGAACTATTCACAGGATTGGAGGAGTGTTATGGTTGAAGCATATCTCAACAGTCAAACAGGATTTTGCAAGTTCTGAGAAGACCAAGGGCCATGACTGTGAGTTCAAAACTAATATTGAAAATACAAAGCCAGTGGAATGGAGGAATTCCCGTCGGATCTGGGACCCTCACAGAAGTTGATCTAGACCCGAAAACTCTTAATTCTCACAGAGAAATTTGTATTGCGCGGCTCTAAGCCGACTCTGGGAGACCCGCAGATGTTGACGGGAAGTCCTCCAATCTTTCCTCTCTCAGCCATTGACCAGTGTGGCGGCGAGAGCGCGCCTTGACCAAAGCTTTGGACGGTTTGTTTGGGGGCATGCGGAATGCTCGCGGCTGATGCGGAAAGCATGCGGAGCTGACGCTACGCACGCAAGCTGAGGAAAGCGGCGGTGCATTAGTGGAAAGTCTAGCTTTCCGAGGTGCGGGAGAGCGGGAAAAGTAGACCAAATGCGCAAGGTTCTGAAAAGCTTGCTGTGGGGAATCCGGGCACTGGCGGACACCGGGGTTCAC